CATGTGTGTGCGTCTTGAAAAAAAGAAGAGGGACAGTGTATTCTGAACTCTCCAGTCTTTCTTGTGGATGGGCGTCCTAATCAGACCTTTGGCCCCAGTGCCCCGGAGGTTAAAACATGGTCTTGGCATTGGAAGGTCAGGGTTCTGCCTGCCAAAGACCAGGGTCATCCCTTTGTTTCTGCTTCCCATCACTGCCAGCGCGAGGTGGTGCGAAGGCTGACTAAGCCCTTGCGCAGAGAGCCTGGACGAAGCCGGCCTGAGGGGCCGTCAGTCTGCACCTGGGCAGGAGGAAGAAGTCAGTCGGTGTGTAGTCGGTCCCACAGACAGTGAGGCTGAAGGTCCCTGGGCAGAAGGGAGGAAGAGGATGCAGCAGGCGGCAGGTCCAAGGTAAAGACGCTGTCCCCTAACCCCTCACCTAGTACAAGGGGCATTTGTGTGCCAGGAGCCCTTGTCTTGAATCTTCTCCTGAGCTTTGTCTCTTCGCTCTCCCTCCCTTGCTCCCCTTGGTATTCCTCCCCTCACTTGTCCCTCAGTTAGGGGAAATGGCGTTATGGGTCTCCAAGTGCTGTTGGTCTCTCTGGCTGAGAGGGGGTGGCTTTGAATGGGGATCACTCTGATGCCTTGTCTGGGGTGGCAAAGTCAGGCCGCCACCTCCCCGCAGGGCTCACCTATCCCCAGACTTGTCTTGGGGTTGCTTAGGGTGACCTCTTTGGAGGTGACTTCCTGCCACAGCCCACGTGAATCCCGAATGTCCAGCACATGCTGGTTTCTCGTGGGGGAGAAGCCCCGGGCCTTCCGGGCATGGTAACTGGAGCCGGCGTGGCTCCAGGGATTGGGTGTCTGCCTTGGGTTTCAGATGTATTAGGTTGTTCCTGTCGTGGCATCTCGTTGCTCCTGAAAAGGCTCAGGTCACGCTGCTGGTCCTTCGGGCTGTGGCCGATCATGGCGATAATTTGGCACCCAGAAGAGCCCTGTTTCCACTTGAAGCATGGGCACTTGGCAGAAGGCAGGTTGGCACCTGACATTAACCCACGAGGTGCTGGCCCACCCACAGGCACAGCCTGGCTTTGCTGGAATTTAGGTCGTAGCCGGACTCCCCGGGACCATCTGGGCTCCCTGGTGGGTGGCATTTCCTCTTTTTGTTAAAACGCTCCAGCTTAGTGCGAGCTCTCTGCCTCCTCTCCCCACTGTGAGCCCACCTACCCCTCAGAGCTCTCTCATTCCCCAAGCTGGGCCCCTGGGCCCCCTCGTCTCATCTTCCTCAGGGGAGCCGACATTTAATAAAGCTCTGTATGCCGGGCCCTGTGCGATGCACAGTCCTCACAAAAACTCCCTGGCGTAGGGACTGTCACCCCCATTTGATAGGCAAGGAAACGGAATTAAAGAGAGGCTGCACGGCTTCCCCAAGACCACACAGGTAATCCGTGGTAGAGGCAAGGCTGGAGCCACACTCTGACCTCGCGGCTGTTCTGGATGGCCGCGCCACCCTGTTTGCCGAGCCGCACTTCCTCCCTGCTTTCCGGGGCTTTCTCCGGAGACAGACAGCGAGGGTAAGGAGTGCGCTTTCCCTGGATGTGCCTGTTCCCTTCTTTCCACAGTCTTCATGGCCCTTCCACTGCTGGACCTTGGGTGGCAGTCAGCTCGGCCCTTAACGTAGCATCTCAGGCCTCGTCTACCACCTGCTGGATCAGAGTCTGCATCTTGACCCAATCCCCACGTATCTGCTTGCACCTTAAAGTTTGAGATGTGCTCCCTTGGAGGAGCCAGGATGAGAGCACGCTGCAGGTGGAGGTGGATGAAGAATCTCTCTCATTGCCGGGGTTCTGAAGGTGCAACGGCCAGGGGTGGAACTATTTGGATGAGCACCCAGCAGGGGCTGTGAAAACAGCTGAGGACTGAGGGGACTGATGAGGACAGCTGAGGGGGAGACTTGGGAAGAGAAGAGGACTCTTCCCTCCCCAGAGAAGGTGGGAAACGGAAATTCCGAGGAAGCGAGGTGGGCCTCAGAGAAAAGGCTTCAACAGGCAGCCTTCATCTGGCCCGCCGGACAGGGGCACGGAATTGTCCTGAATGCCTCCAGCTGTGGGGAGGGGGCACACTGGGGCTGAAGCCTTCAGTGGGAGGACAGTAGCTGCGAGGGATGTGAGGGGTGAAGACACTACGAATGAACAGGTTGCTGCACAGCCGCGAGGGCCCAGCCGAGGTGACAAAGCATGTGTCTGCAGGTGACTAAACAAGGCCAGCGTTGTGACTTTGTCCTGCCGTGCTCGGGAATGGGAAGAACCAGCAGCCACGCAGGGGCACAGAGGGGGCCACCGGTGGGCACAGGCCCCAGGGGGCCAGGGTGGACCCAGTGGAAGGGACCAAGTGTGTGGGAGTAGAGTAGCAGGAATAGATTCTACTAGAAGATCCTTGGGCTGTTAATCTTCAAATGTAAAAAAAAAAAAAGATGGGGAGCAGGTAGAAGAGGAAAATCTGGCAGAAGGCATAGACTTTCTCTGTTTCTTCCTTAGTGCCTATGAAGAGACAAAATTGGAGGATTTGACTTCTCAGAGATGTTAAAACAAATTTTATTGGGTGGTCGGGAGGGCCTAGGTTACAAGATGGTGGGGGTGCTATGAGCCCCCCAGAGTTCTTCGGCCTCGATCCCCAGCCACACAGGTAAGAGGTGGAGGAGGAGGGAGAAGGAATCCCAGCCCAGCTCACACCGCCAGGGTCCTTGCTTTCTGTCGTCTGCCCTGCCCCTGGTAGCAGCCTGCCTTCAGTCTTCGAGAGGTCCCCCTGGCGTTGGGGTCTCCTCCCCCAGCTCAGCCCTTCTCAAGGTCCTACAGAGAAATGGCAAACCAAGTGCAGTTAAGGCCTCTGTGCCTAGTTAACATACAAGTCCCCATCATTCCCTCCAGAAACAGTGAGGGGGTGGCGTGGGCCGTGGCCTCCAACAGGCCTCTGCTGTGGGTGTGCCGACCTTAGGGTGGTGATGTCATTCCCTGGGCCTGTGGTTCTTCCCCACTAAGCTCCAAAAGGACCATATGTCGTCTTGCCACTCTCTGCAGCTAGCACTGTGCAGGGCACAAAGTAAGTTCCCATAGAAGTTTGTGAAATAAAGGAAGTAGAACGGTCTATCTCCACCCCTAACCCCTTTGTGACTGCTTTGCACAAACAAGGCACCGTCCTTGACCAGACTTGCTGAGCTAGTGTGAGGACGAGCTAGGTTTATTCCAAAATGAACCAGATTGCTGGTCCTCCTGGGCGGAAGGCACTGTTCCATGAAAAACACAAGAATTTCTTGCATTCCCTTTGATGCCAGGTATTGGGGAGAGGCATATTCTTGACAATGGTTTGCCCGGAGGGGTGGGGGGGATGTGAGCATGCTGCTGCCCCCGCCAAGGCCAGGTGCCCCCTCCTTGTTTCACCCTCCTCTCTTCACCTCTCAGCGCACTTGGAAGAGTGGCTGCCAGGCATTGTCCGCTTGGAAAAGTACAGCTCCATAGATACGAATCAGCGTGGGCAGCGAAAATGATTCACGTCTGACCAATTCGATTTACTTTAGGTTGTCCGTTCTGAACCTTTTTCTCCTTCTAATTAAATGATGATTGGTCTCGACGGTGGGAGAAAGGGCCTAAACTTAATCTGTCTGAATCTGTGGACAGCTGGGGATAGGATGGATAAGGGGAGAAGCGTTATTGTTATCAAAGGACCAATGCCCGGGTGGAATGGCTGCCACGGGGGGATTCTAGCCCCTCTGGGGTCTTCAGGGCTGCACTGCGCAGCCTGGTGACTACAGTCCGGGACTCTGCCCTTCCCACATTCTCCACCCCAAAACTGGTTAACGAGGCCCATTCCTGACTTGTCTCTGGGGAGTGCACGGAGACTTAAGCTTAATTAACCTACTAGAGACAGCTCCTGAATCACCGGGCACGGTGCCTGGGCACAGTCAGAGCGGAGGAGAGGTGCAGTGATAAAACCTCTCGGCTCATCACTCAGGTTCCAGTGCATGTGCTGCTGGGGTGCTGACTTGTCTCGCTGCAGATTTCCCCAAATACGTGTTCTGTCCTCAGCTGGTTTGCCAAATCCCTTATGAGTCCCATGAGTTGTGACAGCTTACCTCCTCAAGCCCGAGAACGCCATTTGTCTTCCTCTCCCTCCCCCAACGACACGCTGGGCCACTGCTTCTTCCTCTGGTCACTGGCAGTCGCTCGAGAGCTCGCACTGGGACTGAGACAATGCTGGAGCACAATACGAGCTGCAGTCGATTGAATAGCCGCCAGGTGCCAGGCACTGTGGGCCACTCGGGCTTCTCAGCAGCGCTCTGAAACGATTGGTAATGTCCCCATTCTGCTGATGAGGAAATACAGGCTCAGAGAAGCGAAGTGCCCGCTTCTTTGACTTATGAGTTAAGTGGCTAGAGTCAGAACTCAAGCTCAGGCCTGAGTTCAAAGCCCAGGCTCCTGGCAAACAGCAGTGCCTCCCACAGTAAACCAGTTAGTCAACCGCAGATCCTCCAGCCTTCTCCCTGGTGCCCCTTTGCTGGGTGCCGAGGGTGTCCTACGCCCTGTGGAGTAGAAACAGCCCTCCTGGTTAGTAATAAGGCAGGGAGAGAGAAACCCAGGCCCAGGAGGGAAGAACACAGTAATTCTTTCTGGAAGTGTAACTAGGGAGACATCACACTTTGAACGGAGCGAGACACGTGTGGGTGAGCGAGGCAGCGATGGAGTGGATTCGATGGAGTGGATTCCCTCATATTCACTGATACTCACTTCCTGTGCCTCCAGGCCCCTTACTGCTGGCGACTTTCAGCTCAGAGGGGAAGGGAAGCCCCATTCAAAGCCCCAGACAATTCCTTGGGGTCAGTTTCTGGTTCAAGAAGGCCCTTGCCTCATGTCATCTTTCTGCCAGTGTGAACCAGAGGAGAGTCCTTCAAGCGTGAGTGCCCTGGGCCGTCTTGGTTAGTTCTTGGGGGTTCTCAGTCCCTGACTCTCCCACTCTCTTCCTTTCCCCAGGGGTCGACTTTAAGATGAAGACCATAGAGGTAGATGGCATCAAAGTGCGGATACAGATTTGGTGAGTTGGGTGGGAGGGGAGGCCCTTGGGCTGTCCCCTGCCTGTCACTGCCATGAGTCAAATCCTGGGCTTCACCTGGGACAACTGGCTACCTGATCGATGGAGAGAAACAGAAGTCTCAGGACCCATGAGCCTTACTCTCCCAGCTTGTTCTCGAGACACTTTGGCAGGGTTGACCACAAGTCACCAAAAAATAGGAATTAGAAGAATTGGCAAATTAACCACTGTGGGTTTGTCTTAGAATAAGGCTTGGTCCTTGGGCTGTGCCGCCTTCTGGTAGGATTGGAAGGAGGAGGGCTATGCACCCCATCATTCCATTTCAGGTGGGAGGCTGGTGCGAGTTCCTTGGGGCAGTACGGTGCAGTTCCCACAAGGAGCCACAGGGGGCTGCTGTGGCTCTCTGGCCTGTGCTCCTGGAGGCACTCACTGCCTTTGCCAACCAGGGGAGCTGTCTCCCAGTCTCAGATTGGTATGGGCATTGCCTTCAGAGTCCCTTTAGGATCTGGAGGTGTAGCCGTCCAACCAGTCTGGCCACACTGGCCACATTCTAGAGAGTTGTCAAGGCCCAGTCATGGTTGTGGCTTCTGGTGCAGACGTATTTGACGAGGCGCCACCAGCCCTGTCAGCACTGGGTGGCCAGGCGTCTCCCCTGCAGAATCAGGTATGTTCAGATCCCCTTAGAAACCAAAGCCCCACCGATTTTTCACCCTACGGCCCCCCAGTTTAACTGCATGAGCACCGGGTGTCCCAGCTCCTGGTCCTCCCCCTCACCTGCTTCTGTGGTCCCTGCCCTTCTGAGAGACTGGCTTTCCACTGCAGGGACACAGCGGGGCAGGAGAGATATCAGACCATCACCAAGCAGTACTATCGACGAGCCCAGGTGAGCCACTGTTTTCAGGGTTCAGAGGTGGGATGCTCCCACCCACGTTCCTGGTGTCTGAGAGGTCTGTGCCACTCTCCCCCAAGACAGGGCCCTAGGGTTGCCTGCTGGGGAGGGGAGCCTCAGGGCAGTCTTTGAGTTGTTTGTCAGCCATTCATTCATTGGTTGTTCCTTGAGCATTCAGTCCACTGGTTCCCCTACCCTCACCCCCAACCTTGGGCCAAAGACCCAGGCCAAAGTATTTGGTGGAAAGTTCTGTGGAGGGCCTAGGAAGCAATAGTGTTGGGGGTCTGAGACAGAACAAGATGTTTCTGGGTGCTGAGGGGTCCTCGTTATGCTAAGCAGAGAGCTTGGAGAGGGGGATGCAGCATTTAAGGTTCCACACCCGCTTCTGGCCCCTTGACTGTGCGCTCTCCCTTTGTGTATCTACCTCCCCCATCTCTCTCTCCTGCTCTCTCTCTCAGGGAATATTTTTAGTCTACGACATCAGCAGCGAGCGCTCTTACCAGCACATCATGAAGTGGGTCAGTGATGTGGATGAGGTAGGAGATGCTGCCTCCCTGTCGGGGCCCAGGGCGGGGCGGGGGGGGGGGGTGCTCTCAGAGGGGAAGGCAGAGGGAGGGCCAGATGGGAAAGGCCGAAGCTCCCGTGAGTAACCGCTACCAGGAAACCTTGCTTCCACGGCCCGGGGGGAGCACCTCTGGGTGAGCATGACACGGAGAGGAAGCCGAGCCGCCCTGCCCTCCGCGCTCTGTGTGCTGCCAGACTTGATTCTTCCCAGAAGTGAGTTAGGTCAGAGCCTGCCCTGTGAACAGAGTCTCTTCTGAAATCTCAGGACTCTGCCGTGAAAGCCGTGGAGCCTTGGGCAAGCCATTTGAACTCTCTGGCGTCCACAGTTCCTTATCTGTAGAATGAGGGATTGGACTCAAGCCCAATGCCCTTTCCAGCTCAGATACTAGTCGTCCAGTCCAAGGAAGCACCGAAATTAGCCAGAGTGTTTCCTTCCCTAAGCTGTCCCCATGACACCACTCTGGGACCTCTAGGGTCAGCCATGGTTCTTGGGGGAGCCTGGCACCTGCACCCAGTCAGCCCACTCTGTCTCTAGGGCTCTTAGATTTGGTGCTATTGAGGAGGCCAGTGTAGGTGGTGTGGTGGGAATATGGCAGGGAAAGGCAGCACTCACTGGTGGTTCCACCTGTCCTTTGTCCCTAGTATGCACCAGAAGGTGTCCAGAAGATCCTCATAGGGAATAAGGCTGACGAAGAGCAGAAACGGCAGGTGGGAAGAGAGCAAGGGCAGCAGGTAAGTGGGAGTAGGCTGGATGAATCCATCCCTGGGGATTTCTGCTACCTTCCAGTCCTGAGACTTGGGACCCAGGATTCTCTCTCCATCATCAGGCACCCTTACACCTCCTGTCGTAGCCTAAGGCACTGGGTGAGAGTTGCATCCTTGAGAGTTGGCTTTCTGTCCTTCAGGACAGTGATTTGGGGTCCGTCCTGATACAAAGACCTCTTGGGAAGCAACTCTCCCGGTTCTAAGTTCCCCAGGGCACATTCACCTCTACTTACAAGCTTATCCCGGTATTCGTGGTGAGGAAGGGCTTCAAGTTGCTGACTCTCTGACAGCGTGCAGGCACAGCGTGCGGGCGTAGCTGCCATCTCACAGTCATCCACCCGCTCCACGCCCACTCCCTGTCCTCCTCACACTTGCAAGAGGTAGGGAGGTCAGGGAGGGAGTGAAGGGCCCAGAGTCAGACGCCTTAGGGGCCGAGAGGGTACAAGGAGGGTGCTGAGGGGTTGTCAAGCATTCAGGGAGACCACCCTCCCAGAGAACGGAAGGAGAGACGGGTACCACCGGAACAAGAGTCACCCATCCACTCCCAGGGCTTCAAGAGATTTTTCCTACCTCTTCAGTCAATAGCATTCCTCTAGCACTGAAGATAAAACTGATGGTTTCTTTTACTATTAAAAAATACTACCTAGTCATTGAAGGACTTGAAAGTAGAAGCAGACCCTACTGCAGTAATAGTGTTTGTTGAGCACTCTATGCGCTAAGCAAGTGCTTTGAGGTGTGTGGCCCCATTTAATCATTTCATAGCTTTGGTTAATAGACACTGTCATCCCCCTAAACAGATGACAAAGCTGGGGCTTAGAGAGAATAAATATCTTGTCCAAGGTCATACAGCCGTTAAGTGGCGGCAATGATATTCAAGTCAGGCCTCTTTGACTCTCAAGCCTAGGCTTTTCTTTAACTTGCCATATTGCCACAACATTTTGGTATCTGTGACTCTGATATATGATGTGTGTGTGTGCATGTGCTCGCTAGCCTGTGTCTTAGAAGGAGCTCTTAGCCTCAGCCAAGAAGTTACCTACTCTGAGAAGTTGTCACAACACAGCCCGGGCTGTGAGGGCAATGGCAGAAGTATGTGCCCAGTACTATGGGCACCTCCCTTCCCTTACTGATTCCCTTTCAGGAATGTTCTTCTCTTGCAGCTGGCCAAGGAGTACGGCATGGACTTCTATGAAACAAGTGCCTGCACCAACCTCAACATTAAAGAGGTGAGGACTCTGAAGCCCAGCTGCCCTCTGTCTCAGGCTCCATCCGGAGTGGGGAAGCCAGAGGGAGAGGTGGCAGCTGGGACCCAAGATGAGATGAGACCTTGCCCCTTGGGCATTACAGGGTTGCAAGAGGGAAAGGAGGAGAGACCGGACTAACCTGTGTCCCCTGGTCTTCCCCCAGTCTTTCACGCGTCTGACGGAGCTGGTGCTGCAGGCCCATAGGAAGGAGCTAGACGGTCTCCGGACACGTGCCAGCAACGAGTTGGCACTGGCAGAGCTTGAGGAGGATGAGAGCAAACCTGAGGGCCCAGTGAACTCTTCCAAATCCTGCTGGTGCTGAGGGTCCCACGTGGAGCGCCCACAAGTCCCCTCTCCCCTCAGGAGGCCTACGGGCAGACAGGGAGTCTGGGCTTTGCCCTGCTTCTCCTCTCATTCGGGTGACCCCGTGGAATATCAGTAGCTGCTGCTCCCCCCCGCCTGGCCCTGAGAGCGACTCCGGAGCGACCAGGCTGTCGTCTGGGAGCAGCCTCTGCCCCAGCCCTGCCCCTGGAGTGGCATCTTCAGTCCCGTTCCCTGGCTGCAGGCCCGCTCGGAGCCCCAGGTGCGCCTGAGCACCTGCAACGCCCAGCTCCCCAGGCAACGAACAGCCCGTCCGGAGTCAAGGCCACTTTAAGGCTCCTTCTCAGTGCATCTCGTCTCCTGTCTGCTTTTTCTCTCCTCTTCCCTCTTCTCTGTGTCCCCTCTTCTCTTTGTCCCCTCAAGCCCTTTTCCCTGTGTGGCCTGCTTTGTGGCTGCTGGCGCAGCATCTTTCTTTCCTTTCCTCCTGACCCCGTCTGAGGGAATGGACTCAGGCTCACGGGGATGTTCCATCTCTGCTCCTGGGAGACCCTCACCCTGCTGTGTGAGTGGGCCAAAGGCGATGGGTGCCTCTTCCCATCCTCTGCTCCCCGCCGCCCGCCCGTTCTTGTGCCATGGGCCTGCCTCCCCTGTGACCTGGGAAAGTGGAACACCAAGGTAGGAAGGAAACACCAAACGCAGTCCTTCACCTGGGGCCGCGCTACCTCTCCCTGCCGCCCCCTTCCACTCCAGCTTTGGCCTTGCTTGCCCACCTGCCCACCTGCTTCTCGGGGAACTGAGCTTGGAGGCAGGTGCTTTAGAGAAGAAAAAAAATGATGAGGGGCGGCAGGGGTAAAAATCACCTCCATTCTCTACCTCCCATGCAGTGTGTACACAGTTTCTCCCACCAGGGTTCTTGAATTTAAAGACGTGAACCAAAGCCTGAGGGCACTGCAGGGGCAAGGAGAGCCCCGAGGGAGTGGCTGACAAGCCAACTCAGAAAGAGGAGCATTGGGAAACGAAGGACTAGTTACTATATATCGAGTTAATAGCAGGGGAGAGTGGGCCAGGGACAGCAGTTCGCAAACCAAAGGAAACATGGGCTCCCTGGGCCCCACCTTCCAGTTCTTGTCTAAGAAGAGCATTTCCCCTCAACTCCCTGGCCGGTGAGAGGTGGGGCTTCACAGAACCCAGCCTTCAGCCCAAGGCTTTCCTGAGACCCAGAGTTCGTGGCAGAAGAGCAGGGACTTGGTGGGAGAAAGGGAAGCAGGCCCTGCTCAGTGCTGTTCTCATCGGCCTGCTAGACAGAGTGCTCATCTTGCCCCTCTAGTTCCTGAGGGGGAGCTCTGAGGGGCTGCCAGCTGCCCCCCTCCCGTGGGCACTGTGGCCACGGGTGCAGGGAACAGGACTCCTCCAGAGCTCTTTGTTCAGGAAGAAGTTCTTTAACCCCGCAGAGCCCAGGAAAGAAACGAGTGAGTTACCCGCCCTAGCAGGGCCCCTCCCCGCCCCCCCCCCCCAGCCTTCCTCAGGAGGACCATTCTCAAGCTATACACTAGCCGTGTTGCATGGCTGGCGCTGGAGCTAAAAAAATCACTGGGCATTGTGCATTCACCAACTACGGACCAAAATTCAGGGCACACCCATGTGAAGGATTAAGAACCCCACTTCCTTACTCCAAAAAAGTGGGGGGATGAAATCATCAAACCTTTCCTCCAGACTCTCATCAAACCAGGAGGTGGTGGCTGAGGACGTGGGAATGGGCGACAGATTGCACAGTGGAAGGAAAAGGAGGCAGGAATAGTTATAAGTCCGATGAGAAAGGTAGAGAGCTGACTCTAGGATGAAGTCAGGAGTGCGGCTAGGGATGCTTCCTTGAGGACTCCTCGGGTGTCAGGACAGAATCAGCATCGCCCTGGGGGTGGGGAGCGGGGCAATGCCAGCCCTCAGCCCAGACTGCAGGAAGGGGAAGTCTACTTGCTTTGGCTTCACCCTGTGCGTAGGGTCGCAGCTCTCCCTGAAGGTCAGGCAGAGCACTGCTGCCTTTCTCCTAACCGCTTCAGCACAGAGGAACTCCATCTTAACTGTGTGCTGGGGGTTCTGGAAGGGAAACCAAGGGGCCGAGAGTCTGTGGCCCGAGTGGCCCCATTCTAGGACCACAGCTGGGGAAGGTGTGGGAGCGGGAAGAGGGTCGGAATGTTAGGGTGCAGTTACACTCAGCGGGTACCAGAGTCGGCCTCTCACCCCTAACGTCTGCAGTCCAGGAGGTGGCCAGGGGTCTGGCATTAGGCCCGGACTGTGGAGCAGGTGCTCCTGCCTGTTTACTCCTCACCACCTCTGCACCTGCTGTCCTGAGACTCAGCCCAGCCCTGGGCCCTCCGCCTGCTCCTGAGCCCCCACCATCTCCCTGTGACGGGTGAACTTTGTGTACTGTGTCTCGGGTCCAGTATATGAATTGTGAGCAGGGTTCATTATTTTAAACACAGATGTTTACAAAATAAAGACTATTCCAAACCACAGGTATGGGTGCCTATATGCGTCCCTGGGAGTGGGTCTCACTCAGACCCTGGCAGTGAAGGGGCGACAATGGCAGTGGGAGTGGCAAACGCCTGCCGTTTTCTACCTTTTCTAGCGCCACCTGCAGGGAAGCCCCGAGCAAAGCCTCCCTTGCTCCATGATGGGCCTGCACTGCAGAAATAAGACTAAGCAAAATCATTGAGATGATGAATATCTGTGTCTCAGGCAGTCTCTAAAGCTAAGAAGGTTCTCACCTGTCAGATGGAACCGGAACAGGCCTTCCTGAAGGCATGAGGGGGTATTCAGTCATCTTTCAGAAGTTCATCTTAGCCCTGTGATTGAGTGCTCTGGGGAGCAAGGCAGAGTAGAGTCTCGCAGGTGTGTGTGTTGGGGGTGAGGGGGCAGTGGTAGCTATTGAATGCTATATCTTGGGATACAGAGTTTATGGGAGAGGCAGAGAATGTTTGAGGGTAAGGATCAATTGAAGAAGGAAGGCGTAAAACAAGGCAGAGGAATAGTCTTAAGATCTTAACCTGCACCTTCCAGCTTACAGAGTACTTGCAATGCTTTGTTTCCTCCATCCCACCAGTTATACCTGTGTGAGATAAGGAGGGTGATTGTCCTGGTTCAACAGATAAGGAAACAGGTGCCTAAGGGCCCCAAGGAACTGTGGCAGAGTCAGGACTAGAGACAACCGAATTGGAGGGGAAAGCTTTGCCACCTCTATGCAGAAAAGTCTCTATAAGCAATTCTCATTTGCCACCAGAGTTGCAAACCACTGCCCTAAGCATTCTGCCTGCTAAGCCCCTGCAGTTTCCAGAATCACTGCTGTCCTTGTGCAAAGCCATGGGAATCAAGCACTTAGTGCATATTACAAGGCTATAAGCTTCTGGAAAGTGGGCTGTTTTGAGGTAAGGTTGGAGAAAGAAGAATTTTAGGAAAGCCTCATCAATTTTATTCAGTTGTGAAAGGTGGTAATCTGATGGCTCAAAGGGCCTTGTGGTGTTCCTGGAGAAAGTGAACGGCAGGTACCTAAGGGAGAGGGAATTTCCATGGCCTTCCTGGAAGGGCCATAGAAGGGCAGCCAGTAAGTGGTGTCTGGAAGTCCAAAGAGTACTGGGAAAACGCTAGGTATGCACGTAAGTCTGGCTAGTTCATGTTAAAGTTTAGCCCACTGTCAAGGCCAAGTCCTTCTGACTCAGTGGCTTCATTGGGACATTTATGGGCTGCTTCTGGGAACTCCACTCAGCCTCAGCAAGGGGCACACTTCATGCTGCATTTCCTGCTATCTCTCCTACTGGCCAAAGGTTCCATTCCCACGTAGGTAACAGAGGCTTGATTTTAGGGAGCTGCCAGCTGAGACACGTGGGTTCCCACATGCTATAAGCAGCCACAGGCCAGGCTACAAAAGAGAAAAGCAGGGCATTTCCTGGCAAGCAAGTCTCTCTCTTCTAAACGGAACAGATTCTCAAGTGCAGCTGCTGCCAGCCTTGCTTATTCTTTGTTCTAGCAGACAGTTCCCCGCGGGCATGTACCTGTGAAAACAGTCTCTCGTAAACATTTGCACTGTTGTTGAAATTCACTCTAAAATCCCAAAGCCAGGTAAAGCCTAATTGCCAGTTTCACTGATGGAGAAATCCAGGCATCTTTAAAAAGTGATTTGTTGAGTTGGCAGGTGCTTGGAGGGATGAGGTGAAGCATTAGGTTTTTCTAGTTTCTGTGGGCTTCCAGGGTGTGCTCACACCACATAATCCTTAGCAGGTCCCCAGCTGGCCTGTAACACTCTGTGTGGCTGCTGTTGAAAACACCATGGGTGGCCTGGCTGGGTCTAGAAGCACAGCAGTTTGACTCCCTGCCTACTTCCTTCTGTGGGGGAATTACCGGCATTAACCCTCTGGAAAGTGTTTGGGACTGGGCCTTGGTCTGAGAAGAGGTGGGTGTGGCTCATCCCCTCTGAGTTTCCCGCCTGCTGTGTGACTCCTGTCCCCCTTGCCCTGCCCACAACGCACTGCATCCTCATGACCCCCTGGGGGTGAGGTGTGGGGTGAAGGGAGAGCAATGATAGGGGATATATAAAAGGAAGTCTTTTTTTTAAGATTTTATTTATTTATTTTTAGAGAGGGAAGGGAGAGAGAAAGAGAGAGAGAGAGAGAAACATCATTGTGCGGTTGCTGGGGGTCATGGCCTGCAACCCAGGCAGGTACCCTGACTGGGAATCGAACCTGCGACACTTTGGTTCGCAGCCTGCGCTCAATCCACTGAGCTATGCCAGCCAGAGCTTAAAAGGAAGTCTTTTTAACTAACTGCCGAAATTATTAATGTTGTGGAAGTTGAGGCATGAGGGAAGACTCCATTCTTATTCTAACTAGCCTGGGAACGTAAACTTTTTTGACCCTCCTAGTCCTGTATGTACATCTGGACCTCCAGGTCACCCTTGAAGACCCACACATACATCCACCTGGCTTCCATTATCCAGACCACCAGGACCTGACCTGACCTCCCAGTCCCCGTCTTCCAGACAACCCGGCATCCACCATCCTCACTGCCTGACACCTGACTGATACCTGTTCTGGACCAATCCTAGGGCTAAAAATGCAGGGCTAAATCTCAAGAGTGTACATTTCACTATAAACATTTGTAACTTTTCTTTCTTCTTTGGGGCACATCTGGCTTTTGCCTAGCTCTGTTCCCTGTCTACAAACTCCAAGAGCCTTGAATAAATCCCTATTATATATTTCTAGCAAGGCCTCCAGACTCCTTTTGAGTTCACGTGATAGGGGTGTAGACGAGGAGATGGCACAGTGCAGGGGCAGGGGCTCACGTGCTCCCGAGCACAAGTGGCATCACTCAGCAAAGGACTTTGCAAGACAAACACCCTTCATTTCTTCAGCCTGGTGCAAGCTGGGGCCTGAAAGCCATTATTTTATAAAATCACATACTATTCCCCTAGGGGGTCCCTTTGATTTTGTGGAAAGCAACAGCCAGAGAGAAAACCATGAACAGTAACATGTATATTTCCATTGTAATCTGAGTCAAGGGGGCATGCGCCCCAATTCTCTTCCTCCTCTTTCAGATCTCGGCAGACTCTGACCTCCCCACCGCACAGTTCAGAGCCTGGCACTCAGCAGGCACTCAGTAAACATCTGCACCCTGGGAAGACGACTTGCTGGGGCAAGTAGGAGTCAATCCTGCGTCCCTCCCTCCCTTTTTTCCTCCCTGACGACCTTTGGGGCTCTGGTTTCCTACAAGTAGTGAATTATTCATGTCTGCTCATAGATATCAAATTGGCCCTTCCCAGGTTGCCAGCAGGGTGGGGCAGGGAGGTGGCTTTGTTCTGTCTGTAAATAGGAGCAGCCTTGTTCAAACAGCCCTTGCAGGTGGGTGACTGTTTTTGCTAAGTCATTCTGGGGATGCTCAAAGCCCCATTGTGAGTGAGATTCTTCCTGCACTTCCAGGCTCCTCCTCCCTCTGCACCCTTTTAATAGATCCCTAAGTGGGCTCGCACCACTCTGCCAGGCTCACCCTGCACTTTCACCATGGCTTTCATTGCCAAGTCCTTCTACGACCTGCAGGCTGTCAGCTTGGATGGGGAGAAAGTAGATTTCAATACATTCAGAGGCAGAGCGGTGCTGATTGAAAATGTAGCATCGCTCTGAGGCACAACCACTCGGGACTTCACCCAGCTCAACGAGCTGCAATGCCGCTATCCCAGGCGCCTGGTGGTTCTTGGCTTTCCTTGCAACCAATTTGGACATCAGGTGAGGGGTCCCTTGTATTGCACTCAAGGATTTGGGTGGTCTAGTAGGCTAAGGGGAGGGAAGCAAGACTATGCATGCTGGAGTGTCTGGAATCATGGGGTGTGTTTTGTTAATCTAGGTCTTTAGTATGTGTGACTACCAAGGGGAAGTATACATGAATTCTAACTGTCTGTGATCAAAGACTGAGGGTGTGGATTTTTTATTGTTTGTTGTTCTCCTACTGTACTTCATGAGGGCTGGTACCAGGTCTGTTTTTCTCTCCCTTGTGTCATCAGTGCCTAGGGTACAGAAGACACTCATTAGATATTTGCTGAATAAATGAATGGAAGAAATAGAAGATCAAGAATCAGACAAGGATTGAACTGATTCAGGAGACCTTAGTTCTAGCTAGCGCTGGCCCTATTATTTAATGGCTCAATGCCCTAGGAAGAATCACTCAATTTTTCTGTTTTATTTTCCTCATCTGTAAATTAGGGGTAATACTACTTATTTCCTAGGGTTATTGTGAGGCTTTGAGGATACGATAAACAAAAGTAACTTGAAAGTTATAAAGTTATGCAAATGCAAGCAACTTTATTATTTGGATCGAAGAGTTTTGTTTGTTTGAAATCAGCCAAGTGGAAAGTGAATTTGAGGGAGAGCTAAGGGTGCACAGTGTGCCCTCAGGGCCCTCGGGGCACCACCTGCACCCCTCTGTCTCTGATTACTGGGTCAAGGTGTTACAGATCTTCAGCCTACATGCATCAAGTTATCTTTTAGGGGTTCTTCTATTGTCACGTATTAGTTGAATAGCATCAGCAGGCAGGATGTCCTCAACTGAACCCTCTAATTAGAGTCCCCTTAGTTCAATTCACAGTGGCATCAAGACAAGGAGATTAGCAGAGGTACACATGGGAAGGCTGAAGGGTCCCAGCTGTGACACACCTGAGCCAAACCGTTCCTGCTCTGACTGTTCCTTCCCAGCCTCAGTCTGTTTCTAGGCCTGGCTGGAGCAGGAGAGCTGGAAAGGGCAAAACCCCTTTAGCACTGTCTGTCTGGCCCTGGAGACACCTGCAGCCTCACATCACTTCAGACTAGCTAGTTGCTGGAGGGAGTCCATACCCCACCAGGAGCCAGAGAGCCATTTGCACTAGAGATAAGAAGCCTAATAGAGATCAACTCTGGGCTCAAGATGTCATGATGGCCTAGAACTGACTGTACTAATTGGTCCTAGTAGGTCAGAAGCAGGAACTTTCTCCCAGAGGGAGATACCTGACTCTTAGACTTGGAGGGGGTGGAAAATGAGGGTTCCTATGGGCCTTTGGCAGGTGTCATGGGTGGGGAATGCTGAAGGGGACAGATCAATGATGGCAGTGGGGAGGGAAAGACAGGTGACCAGGGAAGAGAGGTAACAGGTTCAGGCTAAAGCATTCATAGCTGACCACAGTGAGCATGAGGGGCAGGAGCCTGAGACAGCAGTCTAGAAGTGGGAGGAATGATAATTACACATTCATAGCCCTCAAGCACTTAATTTCCTTAATTTCCCCTTTCCCTGGCCGATGCCAGAACCCTATACCCTCTATCCTACTTAATTCATCCCTCCTAGGCACTAAGAGATTACATTTAGATTACATTCACTGATGTCTCTAACTCACTTTGCCTTCACGGCACCTGAAAACTAGACTTCCCTCCTCAAAGCTTGCCCCTACTTGCACTTAGAGGACAAGGCGAGGTGAAAGCAAGAAGCCCTACATCCCATTCCCCTAGGCCTCAACTTCACTCTTAGTGTGAGGAGCTGAGCAGGGCAGAGGCAAAGGCCTCACCACTCACATGTAAACTGAAGCAACAGAAGCAAAACCAGGGCAGAGAGAAAGGCACGGTGGTAGCGGGACGTGTGTGGAGGTGTGTGTGGGTAGGTGAGTCGAAGGAGGGTTCTAGGCAGTATGGCCTGAGCCTCCTTTCCCTTTCTAGGGCCCTGAACTTACGGTTCTTGAAGCTTCAGACAGATCCCCTGAGAACTGCCCAGGGTAGATTGGAGAGAGAAGCAACAGAGCAAAAGTGCTAAATCTATCAGTATAAGAACAACCAAGTTAGGACCTGCAAAAACCTTCAGAAATGGCCTAGCAAAAAACATGAATAGCTGTGAGAGGGAAAAATCTTAAGTCAAGAGTATGGCAAAGCAAATAAGGAAGGAAAGAAAAGGGACAGAAGGAAAAAAGGGTTCATAAAAAAGAATGATCCCGGGGAGGGAGTGTAGAAGCTGAAAGATTTGCATGTTGTGGACCCTCATTCCCCTCTCCCCTCTTCCATCTCTTTGTCTTTTTCCTCCCCCAGGAGAACTGTCAGAATGAGGAGATCCTGAACAGTCTCAAGTACGTCCGCCCTGGGGGTGGATTCCAGCCCACCTTCACCCTTGTCCAAAAGTGTGAGGTGAACGGTCAGAACGAGCATCCTGTCTTCGCCTACCTGAAGGACAAGCTCCCCTACCCTTACGATGACCCATTTTCTCTCATGACGGATCCCAAGTACATCATCTGGAGCCCAGTGCGCCGCTGCGATGTGTCCTGGAACTTCGAGAAGTTCCTTATTGGGCCGGAGGGGGAGCCCTTCCGCCGCTACAGCCGCACCTTCCCCACCATCAACATTGAGCCCGACATCAAGCGCCTCCTCAAAGTTGCCATATAGACGCGAGCCGGTCAGCACACAGGCGTCCTCCTCCATCCAGACCCTGTGTATCTGTCCTTAGGACCCAGTGCGCCCTCGGGAGACACTGCTGGCCCTCCGCTTTCCCTTGAGATCAGTCTCCTTCACCGAAGGGCCTTGCCTTTCCTGTCTGCCTGTCTCCCTTTTCTCTCCCAGCCTCCAGGACTTGGGTGGGCTCTGGACCTTCACAGAATGATGGCACCTTCCTAAACCTGTGTGGGCGGTGTCTGAGACTCGTGAAGGGCCCCCAGCCAGCCTCCTAGCTGAGTCCAATAAAGGGCAGGTGTGGAAATGGCCAGGTTCTCCGTGTCTTCTTCCTTGACAGGGTAGTGGGATGGTACTAACTGCAGGCCGGCACCCAAAGGCGGGGGAGAGGAAGGCTCTGATCAAGGGGACACCTTAATTACCATTTGGGAAGCAGGCCCTGGTCAAGATTTGCGGAGGCAGGTGGAGTTGCCTGGAAGTAAATTGTGCTGTTACTCTCTGGCTCTTCTCCAGAACTGTGGGAAGGAGGTGATAATGAGGAGTTAAGAAGGGAAAAGATGATGGGACCTTTGTTTGTGAGTACAAGGAGACTTGAGGGGTCCAGTTAGCAAGAAGTCACTATCAGTGTGGGCACTGGGCCAATTAGATAGGACCAGCACCTTGAGAATTTCCTGGGAAGTCAGTTCGGTGAACTTTGTCAGTAGAAGGTAACAGCAAGGACGTGGAAGGTGAAGTCACTGCTACACAAAGGACAGTTTATCTGTTTCCTGATCACCCTGCCAAGGAGCACTTGTTTTTAGTCCTGTTAGACTGACTCTCCCTCCTTTACAAAGTTCACATCACGCCCTTGTCTTTCTCAGGCTCACCTGATCGCAAGTTCAGGCACAAGACACACAAGTGTGGGCGTGAGCAGTGAACTGGTTTCACGTCTTCCTTCACGAGGGGGGCGGCAAAGGGCCTCCTTTCGGTCCAACTTCACAACCGGCCAGCGGGACGGCTGTTCTCTGGGACAGCAGTTCTGCTGAGTGGCTTTGTGAGGACATGCCCCAGGTTCCTCATCGAGTCTAGGCACTCAAAAACCATCACCGCCACCAAGGCTAGGTGCTGTCGTGTTCTGGAAAAGACACCTGCCAAAAGGCCACTGCCCTGGCATTTGTGCCACAAACCTTTCTGAAAACCTCTCATTTCATGCTTCCTTATTTGACCACTAGGTGGGATATTTTACTTCTTTATTGAAGCCCTTGAAGGACAGTTCTCCAAGCTAAACACACTGTTTGAGAACCCCAGTGGTGACGGGAAATGCTTTTCCCATAACGTTCCCTTATTTTCTAAGCACGTGCATCATCTGAGAAGCAAATGTGGAACAGAGGTTAAGAATCCCCACTGTCTGACCTTCAACTAAAGCACTTCAAAGGGGTAACCTGAGTGTCACGGTGGGAATCCCCTGGCATCCTTCTGCAGGGCCTTCTGTTAAATTAAGCTGCCCTTAACTTGACTCTGGAAAACTCAAGCCTTTCAAGATCCTGCTTTTAAAGCCAACATTAGGGTATGGATTTGGGGGGCAGGGCAGGACCAAGCACTGATTTTAGAGCAATAACCACAGAGACAAATTGCTCCCCTGAAGAAATGAAATACAGAATTCGTGCCGGATGCTAGAGTGATAGTGCTGTAACCTGTCATTACATCCAATAGTAGAGTCGGGTATCCTGAATGTTGGAGTAATGCTACGGGCCATTTAGGGCCTGATATGCTAGTACAAAGTGTTGGGTCTTTCCCATGAGGCTCAAATTGATAGAGTTAGAGGCCCCAAAGGAATAGGGATTATAGTGTAAATGACTTTGCAGAATCAGAAAGGGCCATAATGCTAGGAAGAAGGTTCCTCACTTGAACAGGGAAAATGCAATGTGCTTCAGAAGGGAGCTGACCAGCCTGGCTCAGGAACAGACAAGGGAGGACTGGAGAAACTTGTTCTACAGGGCATCCGTTTACCACCGAATCTTTAGATGTGCTGTTGTTAAAATGAAGAGAAATGAGAAAGTTTCCTTTCTTTAATCCCTCATCTTGTTTGTCAGCCTTGACATCCTCAGAAGAATCAACTTGTGGTCAGAAACAGACAAAACAAAGCTTAATAGAATCACCCATTTTCCTAGATCAACAAACTCATTTAATCAGATTTCCCTGGGGCACTCAGGAGGTGGGAAGAGGCCTCATAAACAAGCCCTCCCCTGAGGGCTGCTGATTTAGAGGAGAGACAGAGACAGTCCTTTCTCTGAGGGCTCTTACACAATTACAGCTTGGGAAAAGGGGTTGTGGAGGATGGAGATCCAGGCTGAAACTGATGATTATTTCCATGACTATGTTCCCACAGCTATTTGTCCTTAGTTTAGGAAAGAGTTAGCCAAACTCTAATTGGTGATTTCACATCTGGTGATTTCTTATAATCACCATCACAACCATCACCCAAACTGCCATTTCCTGTAGCCATTTCTCATATACTACGCTACTTTGTCCTCATATACTGTGCTAAGTACTTTAGATAGGTTAGGTTAGTTCATCTCGTGCTGGCCCTGTGAGAGATTTTTATCTTTATTTACACAGAAGGTAATCGAGTAAGACACCTGCCAAGGACAAAGGGCTACAGAGTGGCAGAGTTGAAAGTTAAACCCAGGTCAGCCCAACTCCCAAGCACCTGCCTTCCACCCTGACAACAGTGCTTCCTTCCATCCCAGTTTCTGCAGAAAGGCCACTGACAACTGCCTACACACTACACTGTACAGCCCAAGAACCTTTCACTTACATCATTTGATTTAAAAACTCCATGAAGGAGGCATGACTATCTCTAGTTTTCCATTGAAGAAACTGAGGTACAGATGGAATAAGTAACTTGCCTAATGTTCCACCTCGAGCAGGTGGCAAAGCTAATGCTAGACTCAGGTTTCTTGATTTCCTTTCTCCCCAACCACAGTGTGTCTCATGAGAGAGACTTGTACTATAGTCAAGAAGTATACATTTTAAAGCCAAGAGTCTCATATGAAGCCAAGTACCCTAACCTTGCTCACAAAAGAATGAAACCAAAAGGATTCTTCATACACTGAAATAAAGAACACTGAACATAGACTTTTTAGCAGAAACTTACAAGTAACAAATCATATCTGGTTGTGCCCAGATTAAATCACATGTCAATTTATTAGTATTGGGAGAACCCAGAACCATTGGAGACAGACAGAGCTGGCTAAAACAGCATAACAAACATGCTGAGCTTTGCACTCCAAGAGCTGAACCATGCCGACCCCAGGCCTGTACCCCATGGGGAGTGCAGAGAGAGAATGAGGTGTCAGGACCAGCCCACGTCCCCAGTGACACCTGCAGGGGAGTCTCTTCCTCCTTGCCTCTCAGGGCAGGGAGGCAAAAAGGACTGCTGCTCTTGCCTGATGCCTCTTCATGCACACAGAAAGACAGAAACTCAGTAAGATTGGGTTCCAGAGGTCTTTATTCTTTTAGATCTGGAGAAAAATTCTAGAAGATGAAAAAGAAAGCATCACAAAACATAGCACGATGTTGGTATAATAATAATAAAATATGTGGGTAGGATCTTATGTTTTAAATTTGTATAGTCCAAAATAGATAATTACATAGTATTCAGTAGATGAAGATAACAGTACAGGCATATGAAATCATACTCTTGAGCTCCAAATGACTAAGTTGGAAGCATTCAAACTCTAAGAAGGGACAATTCTGAGGCTATAATGGGCTTAGTGCTGTTATTTAAAGTAATGAAGCATTTTCTCTGCTTTCTGGATTCATTTCACCAAATGATTTCCTCAGCAGGTCAGATATAGATTTGCAGAAAGTGGAAAACATTTTCCAGGAATAAAACTACTGATTCCTAAGGGGCAGCTGACTTAACTTTTCCAAATAATCCATCTTGGGCTGACGTGCCTAGATGTCTCCGAGTGCGGTCACTGATACTCTCGACCTCTTCCCAACCCTGAGACCCTCTGTGTGCCGAACACTCTTGTTGAGAGGGAGCCGCTGGACTCGCTGTGTGGCCCCGAGTAAGCTACTTAATTTCCTGTGCCTTAGTTTCTTTGGCTCTAAAATCAGAACAATAATAGTACTTCCCCCATGGAGTTGTGAATGAGGATTAAATGAGGGCTTAAAAAGGCCTTGGCACACAGTAAGTACTCAAGAAACCTCAGTCATTATTATTCCTGTTATATATCAAAGCTTTTCCCTGGAATCAATAATGAACATTTTGCTCACTTTTTTTTTCTTATAAGCAAAGCCTAAGTTTACAATGCCCAAGTCCCTTAGATATGAAGAGGAAATGATTCTGTTTCTAATGCCTGGCCTTTTTAAGTTTGGTCTCACAGGGAGAAGTACCGAAGCCATCCCATTGTGTCATTCATTACTCACTGGATCTCCCAACAACACTGTAAAGAAACTATACTAGCAATTCCTATGAGCCTAGTTTTTTAAAAAGGGGACCATAATGTCTGGAGTAATGCTTTGCTTAATGGTTATACTGCTATCAAATGGCAGAGGCCTAAATGCCAGGGTTTAGGACCCCCAAGGTAGTGTTCTTTCAAAGTAAAATATTCTAAGATCCCTCTGGAGCAACTGAAACTAAATTTACGGTAACTAAATTTATATTTAGTTAATCCTCAGAAGATACACCAGGACAAAGTGTTGGGTCTTTCCCATGAAGCTCCAATTGAAAGAGTTAGAGGTCCCAAAGGAACAGGGATTATAGTGTAAATCACACTTTAATTCTATTTATTTATATTAACTTAAGTCCACACTTTATTCAGATTTCCCCGGTTTTCACAAAGGTCCTTTTTCTGGAGCAAGATCCCATTCAGCATAAATTACGTTTAGGTACTCGTGTCTCCTCAGGTTCTTGCTGGCTGTGAGCGTGCTCCGACTTCCTTGTCTTGGGTGACTTGACGGTTCTCAGGAGCACCGGTCAAGTACTTTGTGAACGTCCCTTAACTGCACGGGATCTGTATCATCTATTTCTCATGATTAGACTGGAGTTACGGGTTTTGGGGAGGAATGCCACCAAGCTAAAGCGCCATTCTCATCACAACACATCAAGGACACATGCTATTACATCACTTATGCCCTTTGATGCTAATCTTGCTCTTGGCCAGTCTGTCCCCACTTTCTATACTATACTCTGGAAGGAAGTCACGACACACAACCCACATTTAAGGAGTGGGGAGTATCTGCATATGTTATTTGAAAATCTTTTGGATGGGAGATTTGCCTATTCTATTTTATGTATGTATTTATTCAATCATTTGTTTATATCAGTATGGACTCATGAATATTCATTTCATAGTTCAGGTTATAATCCAATACTATTTTTTATTCAGATTGTCCCAGCTCTGGTCACTGGGAGCTCCTCCAGGTAGCTCTTCTGTCCTTCTGACATGCCCCATCATTGCGGTTTTTCTGAGCACTTCCTTTTCCTGTGGTGCAAGATGCTCCGTCTTGTACAAGTCCGTCTTGTACATTTACAGTCCCCATCCTAGAATAAGTCATTTCTCCAAGGAGCCCTTGGTTCCTTTTACTGGGACCGAGATCTGGGCACTAGGTGTACTCCCACTCTGGCTGCACTGATGTGAACTAGGAACTTAGAACTCTCTGCTCTGGAGAAGAGCAATCCCCTAAATCACTTCTTTTCTTTTGAAGAATAGGTAAGTACAGACAGAGAAAAATATGCAAATAATTTCCATTACAAACTAAGAAGACAAGCCATCAGGCTTGCTGTATTGTAAACCAACACAACATAGTTACAACAGAACTGCAGGAGGGTGGTCAGAATAACAGGGTCATCTGCCGGGGGTCATCAGGGAGAATGCTGATAGTATCTTCAGCTTTGCCACATAACAAACACAGCATGGTGTACTCCTAGGACAAGATAAAGTGCATAATTACCATGAGAAAGGTGCTTCTTAACGGACTCAGGTAACAGTTTTCTGCATCATCAGGGGTATTCTTTCTGTATGTTAGATCAATTTCAATACCTACAAGCAATGTCTTCGGTTTATTCTGTGCATCCCAGAGCCTTTTGTTTACGCCAACAGAATACATGCTGATGCTCTCTCTATTGACACAAGAATGTCATCTGGGGCATGCCTGGCCATTTTGTGGACTTAAGAAATACACATATTGGGCTTAGCTAGTGCTGCTCTTTGAAGTAATGAAGCAATCGAGTGTAGGCCCCTAAGGACAAATTCCTGGTCTTAGAGCTGTTCCTATCCAGAACAGTTAACACTAATATGAAATAGAAATATTTTTAAAACAACAAAAAAGGGAGAAAATTCCTAAACCAAAAAAGCTACTTTTATCTACCCCAAGAAAATAAAAAACTATGTTAAATTCACTAGTATGTTAAGCATACCTCATATTTAGGTAGCTAGTTGTCTAGAATTTGATCTATTTAAGGAATTTTATGCTTCTTGGGTTTAACAAATGTTCAGACTGGTGATGGAAAGGATTTTGTTTTAGGTAAACATGCTTAGGGCAGAGTCCTATTTCTATAGCAGCACCTTTCTAGAATATTCAATATGGTCCTAAACTATAGGGACATTTCTTTTAAACCCTTTGCTTAAAAACCTTTCATCTTCTTTAGGAAAACAAACACCCATGTTCAATCTATTAGCATGTCCACGCCTGACACTGAGATTGCCGGCTCTCTGGAAAGTGATCGGTCAGGGCAGCTTATGCTTCATGGGTCCAGACAGTCTAGGGAGAGGGTCGCAGAGATGAACACGGACTACAGTACAAGGACTCGGAACCAGGTGACTGCCTTTCCATTGCCTCCCAGTGGACTCAGCAGAGGAGTTTGGCTCTGGCAGTGGAAAAATTGTTCCTTAAAGACCACAGTTAATTTTTTAGTCTATTCTGCACACACAACAGAAATAAATACAGGCTAGACATCAGCAAACACGAGTCTCATGAATTAAAAATAAAAATCCCCTGTCTCCAAGGTCTTTTACTGCTCTCAAATACTTCTGCTTTTACCAGCCAGACTTTACTGCTAGGATGGCACCCTCTCCCTGGAAATGAAGAAGCAGAAAGTAGTAAAGTCAAAATAGGAAAATGTGTGAAGCTAGACAAATACCCGACTTTTCAACTAATCTATCCATCGGCAAGTTTTTATTAAGTGCCTAAATATTCTGCAATGTGCTAGGTACACTAGTAGACATGAGAGAAGGCAAGGACAAGGTCTGACCTTGCAAACTTAGAATCTAACTTGGGAGAAAGATAAATCCTAACATATGGTATAATCTGGAAAGATCATTAAATAGTAAGACGGATTACACCTGTACTCTGATTTATAGGCAGTCTGGATTCCAAATTTCACTGTAGGTCAACTGTCAGGAATTCAAAGACAGTTTCCCATAGAAGCAGTTGCACCCAACAGTTAGGTTCCCAGAAAGTTCAGGCAGCCTTTTAAATTTATATTATACAAGTACTATAGAATCTAACCATATATAGCAGTACTTCTGTGGGAAAATATGTCTAGAATTCTACCTTGGAATGTCAGAAACATATCTCTGTGTCCTGCCAGGAATGTGGTGGGATGAGAAAACATTTTAACAAAACTAGTTAATTTGGGAGAATAAGAATCACCGCCGCCCCCCACCCCGCCCCAGCCATTCATGGAGATCCTCAAAGCCCCCACCTGCAAACAGGCCAGGGGTACAGATTTGGAAGCAGGGTGGCAAGGGGAGAGGGATCCTTGGGTTAGACCAGATCCTTTGTTTTATTCTGACGGCCCCTGGCCCTTTTCCTCTATCACTATCTGTTATTTCTGACCCAGAGTCCTCTCCTTCCCAGGTCCACAGAGGAACGGAAAGCAGTCTCACAGTTCCCCTCTTGTTTCTTGGGGCAAAAACACAGTTATTTGAATGGCTTTTAGGGTGATATATCTGTAACCATTTATAATGTATTTTCCATTTAAACTCTGTATTTCTGTGTACATTTTCCCCTGTATTCCTTTAAAATTTATTTATTTTATAGAACAAGGAAAGGAGAGAGAGAGAAACATTGATTTTTGTTGTATCAGGATGATGCTCTAACCAACTGAGCTACCCAGCTGGGTTCCCCTCTATTCTTGCCATCAGAAAATTTTACTATGTTTAACCATGGTGTTGTGGTTGTTTTATAAATAGAATCCTTATTTTTTTGAAAGAAAGGAAAGAGATGATGAGAGGATGAATCAAAGAGGTAGCTAAGTGAAGTAAAAAGAGTTTAATTTGTTTTTAACAAATACAGACTAACTGAGTATATTTAATGTGAAGAAATTTTAAATCCCATGGAGAGAAAGACGATGCTAAAAAGAGAGAGGGTAACATATGATTCCTGGGGAAATGCAGCAGGGGTAAGCATCAGAGAGGAGGAAATAAAAGTCTCTCTCTGTGACAGGAGGGACGGGAGCAAGCCTCAGGACGGGAGCAATGCTGTGTGTGGTACATAACGAGTGTGGCAGGAAAGAAGAGAAAGTGAAGCTGCAGCCTAGCAAGAACTCTGGGACGAGGAGTTTGGATGTTATACTGCAGCTAAAGGTAAGCTGGGCAAAGGCCAGTGAGGCAGTTTGAAAGCATCATTTTAAGAAAAACAACCTGATGGCAGAACACAGCACATGGGCAGTGGGGAGCGGATGCTAGGAGAGACACAGTGGAAGTAGAGAGTCCAGTTTAAGAGTTTTTTTCAAGAGCATTTCACTCTATCTGGGCACTGTGAGTACAGGCTATCTTCCTTTACGTTCTTCCTATCCCAGAGTAATTTCTGGGGCAGCTCGGAAAATGTCTGTGTTCAGTCATAAAGGGAAATCAGCCAGACTTTGTTGTATATACTTTACAGTACATACAACAGCTCAATTAGAGCATAAATAGCAGTCTCAATGTCCATTTAGGGACTCTAAAAAGCTGACAGGACCTTCAGAAGCTTCTGGAAAATAGCTACAAGCACTTCTCTCCTCCCATAAAAGGATAAAGCTGCCCCTTCAAGCCCACGACATGTTCATTTCCCTATCCGGCCACCACTCACTCACTGAGATCTGGATTTTGGCCTAAGTTACATATATCATATAAATATTTTTGAGGCCTAATTTTTGGTTGTTGAGGAGATGTAGTCAAGATGTTATTTAGATTAAGTATAAGATATTGGACCATATTATGACAAGTGACTTAAGTGCTTTCTTCTTTATTAAAATAAGAATGAATGAGAGTGGATATAGTATTTTATAACATGCTGTTATGAAAGATTTTATTTTTCCTAATTATAGGAAAATCTGAAGGGTTTTTAAAAACTCCTTTGCCTGTTAAAAGCTCTAACCTAATATTTATATCCTACGGGTGAACATTTAGTTCACATGAAATAAGGAACTCAAGCTGGAGGTTTGAAAACGGGGGCAGGGAGGCGTGGGCGCAGGCCGAGGTGTGTCCTCGTGGTTCACGGTGCATCCGGGCTCTCCCGCCCTGTCCCGCTTTTCTTTCTGACCATCAGACCTACTCCAGGCCTACACCAGCCTCTGGAATTCTGTTGATCTCTTCCCGTACTCTCACAACAGTGTAAGGATTAATCCTTATAATAAATCCCTATTCTCTATCCTTACAGTGGTCCTGCTTCTCTCCTCCAACCTTGATACATCCATGTTGTTATTTTACCTAACAAATAATATTAAGTGTTTTACTGCAGTTGAGACTACGGAATCGCTCAACTCTACATGCCTACCAAGGAAAACAAAAGAGAGCCCCCTGATCCCAGTCTCCATGCCCAGCAAGTACGGTGGCAGTGGGCAGGCCGACACCCAGAACCGACACTGCGCAATCACACAGCTGGGTAGAGACAAAAGAGGCACAACGGTCACCTCAGAAGAGCTACAATGTGCTGTTCTTCATAAACAAAAGTGACAGGACTGAGAAATCATTTGTAAGGCACACACTGATTGCTGACTCCTGTAAAAACAGGTTTGAGCAGATCCAGCCACATCTGAAGTTTCCCTCTCAACTTACACAGAAGAGAGGGATGGTCTCACTTAACATTCGCTAGTACTTCATTTGTGAAAATTGTATCTAGATTTTCAAGGGTACTTTCATTATCTCCCCTGCGCCCACAATAACATACCCATGTTAACACACTTACCTGAAATTCATCCATGATACTGAACGTATATTCATGCCTGGCAACTACGTGATGACAATTCTTACACAGATCTGCCAAAACAGAGAGAGATGTAATAGTTAAGTCACAGAACGTGTCTTTAGACAGTAAAATTTCTATTCTCAGCAATGGTACTGCTTTAAAAGAATCTTAACTGTCATATTTAATACAGCAGGATACCCATTATATCTGCCTTGATAAGAAATCTAGAATCTGTGACATAGTAATACTGCATAATTAAGGGCCAATGTGCATATATTAATTCCCATTGAAAGCTCTCTAAGGTAATCAATTAACAAACATGTAAATGTGTTGTTTAAACTAGCTAGACCTATCTAACTATGTAAAGGCTTCTACTCTCAGGAAGGACTATAACTAATCATAAATCAACAACTAAACAACTTTGTGACTATAACTAATCAACAACTTTGTGACTATAACTAATTATAAATCAACAACTAAAGCTAGACGCTAAAGTGAATTTAATGGTAACAAAAGACTCTAATAAAAACACATAATAATAATGTTTTATTGAGTGTTTACAGTATGCCAACACTGTTTTAAATATGTTTAATCTGTTTATTCACTTAATCTTTTCAAAAACCCAAAGAGGGAGACACAATTTTTAGGGATATGGAAACAAATGCACACCGTGGTCATGGAAGAAATTGGGTTAGGAAGTGTTGGAACCAGAATTCAAATCCAAGCATTCTGGCTCCAGAACCCTTGCTCTTTTTTTAAAGAGTATATTTATTTATTTTTAGAGAGAGGGGAAGGGAGGGAGGAAGAGAGGAAGAGAAACATTGATGTGCGAGAAAAATTGCATGCACCCCAACCAGAAGCTGGGCCACAACCCAGGCATGTGCCCCAACCAGGAATCAAGCTGGTGACCCTTTGCTTTGCAGGACGATGCCCAACCAACTGAGCCATGCCTATCGGGGCAGAGCCCTTGCTCTTAACCACCATGACCTACTACCTGGAACAAAACTGAGTTAAAGGGTTATATCTAAAAGGAAGAAAATGATTCTTTTAATTTAGAACACTTTTTGATAGTCTGACTTTATTCTAAAGGCTTAGTGCTTTTCATAGCCCTCTTGCAAAGTATCATTATTTGTGCATTTACTCCTCTTATGTTCAGAACACAACAAAGAACCAGGAGACAAGCCAAAAGGGGATGTGCACAGTGTAACTGCTTGTCACAATACCTGGGCACTAAGGTATGCATACACTTAATTTACTCACAGAATTTCTTAGTGCCTAACTCAGAATCTATTTATTTTTACTGCACACAGTCTATTTGTGTGGTTTCCCAACACTAAGGAAGGAGGAACAGTATATTAAGGTAGCATATTTACCGCAGCAAAAGAAACACCAGACTGACAGTGAAATAGGAGACGAAAAAAGCTACGAAAGCCAAAACAAGACTAGACTATAGCACTCAGGGACATTTAAAATAGGGGCAAACATCGCTTCTCAGCCTCTGGCTAAGATCAAATGTACACGACATGATCTCACCTATAAGAGGAACCTAATGAACAAACATAAACTAATGAACAAAACAGAACCAGAGACATGGAAACAGAATAGACCAGAGGGGAGTGGGGAGGGGGATAATGATGGAAAGAAGAAGGGACTAGTCAAAGAATATGCATAAATGAACCATGGACATGGACAATGGTGTGGGGATTACCTGTGGGGGGAGGGGGGCTGGGCAGAGGAGGGCAAAGGGGGAAAAATGGGACAACTATTTAATTGTAATAGAATAACAATTAAAAAAAAGATCAAGTGTAAAATAGGGGCAAACAGCCCTGAACACTTTAATAGCTGCTGGACAACATCACTATATAGCAGGTGAAAACTCACATGTATGATCCTAAAGTTAAAAGAAAAACCTCTATATCGTTTCAGAAAAGATAAATGCTTTAAAAAAAAAAGTGATGCCTGAATCATAGCTTTGGTTCTCTCCAAGAGTCATTTAAGTAGAATATCTGATGCTAGTTAAATGAGGAGTTATTTATAATTTCCTCTTAAAAACCTAAATACTAACTAGTAACTATGTGTTGCAATACAATATTAAAACAGGCCTCATAATGCTTTGCACAACATACCAACTTCCCAAAGTCAACGCTTGCTAACAGACTTGAGTGGAAAGAAAAGGTCTACTCACGATCATAGGTAACTATTTCTTCTCCATCTTCCTCTTTCAGAGACTTGTTTGTGATCAGCATAAAATCCCGCTTACCACACACCGCACAGCCTGTAAAGTTCAGCAAGAAAGATCCATTCTCCAGGCAGATGTTACCCTAAGATATTAAAAATGGTAATTAAATTTTCTTCTATTTCAAAATGCTTGGTGAAAATGATTAATAAACTTAAAACCTCTAAAGGCAAAAAAAGCCAAAATTTACTTGCTTGAAGGCAACACCAATTAATTTTGAAACTGTCTTTCCTCTACATGTGCTACTCATGGTAAATGAGTGGTAGAGCTGTAAGTCTCCGAGGTCTGCAACTATGTTTAAGAGAACTAAATGTAAGTGGACATTTAGAAACAATTTAGTGAAGCTTTAATAATATACGAAAAGGAAAAATTGGAAAACCTAATAGCCAAGAATATTAGATAAGGTATCATATCATGAACTAGAATTAAAATACAATCAAAATAGAAACACAGCCAACGATAAAAATGAAAACACTGTGCTCAGCTGATTGTTGACATAGCATTTTCTGAAGCCTTAAAGATACCGTAAAATAAACAAACAAAATAAGCTCTCAACTCTCTGGATGTCAGTCCATAAGGATATGTGTTATTCGGGCAGGAAAGGTAAAAACTCTGCAATTCCTTAGACTGACAGCATGGCATTCAAAGAGAAAGGGTTTTGCTTCATCACTAAGGAACAACTTAGGTTCCTGGCTCAAAGGAGGTCTTTGCTAAAGGCTTACTAATAATTGTTCAGGACTAAAACTCATCTCATAAATAATCTACTTCAACCTCGTTTCTGACCAACAAACTTAAAGAGTATTTTAAATCATTAATGTGATGAAAAACCATTCAAATCAACATTTCTCCAGTATAGCTATGTGCCTCATACTGAGTGGAAAATTCGAGGATGAGTCACAGGCTTCTTCCTTCAAACAGCTTATGGAATATCAGGGGAATTAAGACCCAGCTGAAGTGATGTCACAGTGAAGCTTTCCTGCATTCCCTCACAATTAACCTCTCCCTTCTGAGTGGCTCCTCAGTGCTATGTATTAAGGAAGAGATTAACTCTGGTGGAGGGAAATGAAGCCACTACATTGTTTTTCAGAGAGAGGAGAAGGGTGGGAGAAAGAGAAGGAGAGAAATATCAGTGTGAGAGAGAAACATCCATCAGATGCCTCTCAAAGGCTCCCCGCCCTGATGGGGGACCCAACGTGCAACCTAGGCACGTGCCCCGACATAGAATCCAACGGTGACCTTTTGCTTTGTGGGACAATGCCCAACCAACAGAGTCACACTGATCAGGGCTAACTATCTAGTTTGAAGATAATAAACCACAGGCACATGGACTAAACTACTAAAGGGGGAAAAAGCCTTGGGATTAAAGTATTGGGTTGAACAAAAAGTCCATTTAGTTTTTTCTATAAAAGACACATTTTTCATTTTCACCAATAACTTTGTTGATTTGGATATTTTGAGTATGTCCACTATCTTCCACATGGTATAACGTTGATTGTTGTCAATTACTGTCTCGATTTGATCCCTATCAACTTCAGCTAGTTTACTGGACCATGGAGCATCGCCCAGTGAGAAATCTCCAGTGTGACACTTAGCAAACCACTTTTGACACGTTCAATCAGTCACAGCACCTTCTCCATGCACTGCACACATCTTTATTTGTGCTTCAACCTTTCTTCAAAAAATAAAGGATAATATGCCAAAAATGCAATTTTCTTCCATCTTCAATATTAAAATGGCTACACAAAAATTCATTAATTTTGATAAGTTTTTAAAAAATGCATGCTGACGGGACAGCTGTCACAACACAATCCAACAAAATTGTTTCGAATGAAGTTAAAGACAACTAAGGGCTACTAGAGCCATCTTATAGGAAAAAAACTAAACGAACTTTTTGGCAGCCCAATATAAACTTCCAGCTATTAAAAACAAGTGTTTTGCTTTGATTAAAACAACAAAACAATAAACTCTATTGAGGTATAACTTATTGCCAGCACTATAAAATCCACATATTGTAAGGGTATTGATAAACGACCTTTGATAAACATATATGCCAAGGTAAACACTACCCCAATCAAGATATAAAGTTTTCTATCTTCCTAGGAAGATAGAAGGAAGCTCCTTCATGCTTTATATTCCATTGCATGGATTTATCTGTTAACAAGGTTTTTTTACTATCATAAATAAAGCAGTGATGAAGATTCACGTATAAATGTTATGTGGACATATACCCTTCTCTTGGGTAATTACTAGAAGTGGAATTGCTGAGTCATACAGTAAAGATATCATATAAACTTTATAAGAAATTGCCACACGGTTTTCTGGTTTTCTATTCCCACCAGTGATGTGTGAGTTCCAGTTGCTCCACATTCTCACCAACACTAGGCATTATAATTCTTTTTTTAAATTTTAGCCATTCTAATGATGTAAAATGGTATCTCACTGTCTACTAGTACAAACAATATTCCTCTAGAATGGGAATTGCTGGGTCATTCAGTATGCCACACATCTTTATTTGATAATGCTAAGCCTCTTTTCAAAGAGGTTGTCTCACATGTTTTCATGTTGTTATATATCTTTCCCAAAAGACTAAACATTACTCTAAATGTTAAAAAGCAGAAGAAACTATACAGATTTTCTACCTCCCACCCAATACAAGAATCCTTGTTCTTCTGTTTTCCCCCAACCTGCAGCTCTTCCTTTCCTACCCTAGTCGCAACTAACTTTCAAGTCCCAACTTAAGTCCTTCTTTCTTTTGGGAGACCAGTGCTCCTCCTTACTGCTCCCCGCTTCTCTAGACTTGAATGGCATTTATGGACTGTACTACTCATTTATTAATCACATACTCTCCTAAAATGTAAGCTCTTAGGCTGCACAGAAGTCGCCTCTTATTTCTTCTAAGCAAAGTAATTTAGCTACGCACATATAAATGTTCAGTAAGTATACCTTGAATGAATAAGAATAAACAAGCTTTGCAACCTCTTGAGCTTAGGAGGAACAGAGGTTTAAAAGAAAATAATAGCTAGGAAACTTAAATTCTAGTCTTGGCTCTCATACTAACTACAATGTGAAACTGGGCAAGTGATTTCGCCTCTCTGGGCATTAGTTTCTTCATCTGCAAAACTAAGTTAGAACAGATGACCTCAGAGGTCCCTTCCAGATCTAGAATTCAGAAGAAAAACTGAACTTCATCAAATCACACTTGAGGGTGAGACTAGGGGCAGGGGTAGGGGTGTCTGCTTTCGGCTGGGTTGACAGTGGTGGGGTTTCCTCTGTTGCCCCTGGAGCTATAGAGGAGTGGGGTGAAGCTCGATGTCAGCCCTAAGGGAGGGGACCGTTGGGAAAGGACCGCCACAGGCCGCCCCAGCTGTCTAAAGCCTAAATACAGCTATCGGGTCATTGGAATAGGCAGAGCCGCTGAGTCTTCCCCACCCGCGCCCGGCCTCACGGGGAACGCAGACCGGGGATATGAGAAGCCTCCAGAGCGGAGTATCGGCCAAGGGAGCGAGAAGTTCTCGGTGCTCCTTCGCTCACCCGATTGGGATATTCCTTCTCCACACAGTCCCCACACATCGTACTGCAGTTAACCAAGCAGGTCCTCCAGGGCTTCCGGGAAGGCGAAACATCGCGAGAGCTAAGAGAAGGTTCCGCATGCGCCCTAGGTATTCGACCTGCTCCGTGCACTCTCAGAACCAAGTCTTAGTCTCCGCTCCTTAGCAACTGTTGCTAGGGCACGGCCAAGTCTCTTTCGCAGCTCTGGTGACAACCGCTGGGACTCCACAACTGTCGAGAAAGAGGACCTGTGGCGGGAAGGGGAAAAGGATCTTGAAATGAGCAAAGTTCTAATAGGCCTTCCTGAGTCTAGGGTGACAGACAAGTAATACACAAGAAAGGTAAATTGTTTCCCATATTCAGCTTTGTTTCAACCTGTCAGCTGACTTGGCTTACTCCATATATAAAGCTGAAATTATAATTTAAATATTTTTTTCTTAACCATTTCTTAGGGGAGTGAGAATGATAGATCAGATCTCAGCAGATGAACAAGCAATAGCTGAAGTGTTCGGGAAGAAGTGTTTGAAGCTTTGCAGAGAACATGTTAAATGTTAAATGTTAATAGTAAACATGTTAAATGTTAATAGTAAATAACCATCCCAGAGTCCCCTGGAGAACATAGCAATGGGAAACGTGTTTCCGTGTGTGTGTGTGTGTGTGTCACAGAAGCACATCAGTGGCAGGCAAGCACTAGGTAAATAGAAGATGGTCAAATCAGTGGTCCCTGCATTTTCCAGTTCTGTGGAGCTCAAAATGCTTGTGACTGGTGCCCTCCTTCTTTTTTCAATAACCATTTCAAAGCTAGCCAGCTTAATTGGGTTTGCTAATACGGGAATTCTATCTCCACTGGAGTGCTGAAATTGTAACCGGTATTTCAGCCTCTGGTAAGGATCTGCACTAGTTACTGAAAGTCACAAGTGTCCCGAAAAGCGGTGCATCAGTGTTCACTCTATTCTTGGAATAATCATAATGTCTTCCATTTGTATGACATTTTCAACATTTTGGTGTCGTTTTGCTTTCTAATTTAATGCTTTTGCAACTGTGTAAGATTAGTAATGTGAACCCAGAGAAGAAATACATCTGCCAAGAAGGACCCCCCATGGTTTATGGGGCCCAAATTCATAACCAGAGTCTAGCACTATTGCTGACAGAGGCCTCTTACACACTGTATTTCAGGGAAAAGCCATGGGCTGAGCTGTCAGCCTCCTTCACTGGGCTTCTGCCATTTGAGTCGACCCTTATAAGGGAGTTCTTGGTATCCTCTTATGATCAATCTACCTACCCCTAACACAACTATACAGCTATATCCTCATTTGCACCTATGCTGACCAATGAGAACTGCTCTATGATGAGACCAATTAGAGTGCCCAACTTCAATCAGGACAGTGCCATTTGGACCAATCAGAACTGTGCAGCTGGATCCTCACTTGCATAAATATGGACCAGTCAGGAACCAGTGTGGGAACTTTCTCTATAAAAGGTGGCCTCCCCTAATTTTACCCACAGTTGCACTTTTGGGAGGCTGTGTTTTCCTGGTTTGCAGCTGTTCACAGAAATAAAGGCTTTCCTTTTCTGTACTCAACTGGGGACTTTTGTTGACAGTGAGAAAAGTATGTCTTCCCTTTTTGGATAAGGAAACCAAGAAAATAAGTGGTTAAAGGTCTTCTATGGTAACAAAACTACTTGATAATCTGTCAGGACTAGGGCTTGGTTCCTACCCTGGGCTCAAATTCCTTTTAATACAATAGTTAGTAGCCACATGTGGCTATAAAGCACTTTTAATGAGGCAAATTTGAACTGAAATGTCTTGTAAGTACATCTTGGACACTAGATTTAGAAAACTTAGTGTGGAAAAAATGTAAAATATTTCACTAGTAATTTTTATATTGGTGATGTTGAAATAATTTGGCTAAATAAAAATAAATTATTAAAATTAATCTCACTTGTTTCTTTTTTTAATCTGGTTACTAGAAAATTTAAAATTACACATGGAGCTTGAGTTATATTTCTACTGCCTAAGGCTGGCCTATACAATTCCCTTTCTTGACTGATTTTTTAAATGCATCCTCTGTTTTTAAGCCTGATAGTGACTTTTAACGTTACTAACCACTGTATCTATTTTATTCAATTCTGTAGACATCTGTTGAGTGTCATGGCTGTGCAAGGAACCATGTGGGCAACAGAAAAATGAAAAAGACATTGTCTTTTCCTAGTCTCCAGATATTCACAGTAGAATCTGAGAGAAAAAATGAGCAGAAATGCCTGTAATTAACTGGAAGGTTGTGGCTTTACAGCACAAAATGGAGAGACTTCTGGCAGGTGGGGGATTACAAAAGGGGTATTTGGGCCTTGAACAATGTATAGGGTTTCAAAAAGCAGAGAGTTGAGTATAAGAATTTCAGGTGGACCATACCAAAGAGTTTGGATTTTACTTCGCAGGTGACAGGGAGCCACTTAAAGTTTGTGCAGGAGAGTGATGATATCAGTGTGTGGTTTAGGAAGATTATTTTAGCAGCATTCTATTGGGACTGATGGAAATGGAAAGAAATTGGATGCAAAAGGCAAACACTAGCACAAACCACAGGGGGGAGACATACAGCTTTATGCCTCCTGACCAATAGAGAACGATTCATGATTTTTAAAAAATGAAAATTACACGGCAAAGATCTCAATGACTAAGCTCTTTGGTATGAACTGATTTTTATGTTCTGAGGCATGAAAAACAATTGACATATTTACCAACATCTCTCTAACTTTCCAGAGTGATATTGTATATTGTTATTAAAGTTAGCAAGTGAATTAAAAGGTCATCTTATTCATAGGCACAAAATTTCAAGAGCTTATAGCTAGCCACCCAGCGAAGTTCCGTATTCAAATATAACCATGTTCGGGGAAGAGAGTCAGCAAATGATTCTGGCAGGAGGAGGTGGAAAGGAACAGAAATTAAAATGTGATTATGGTAGTAGGCATATGATAATCTCTGAGGCCGACAGGTGGAAGAAAGGAAAAGAGATGCAACAAAGCAGGGGATTAGCACCAGAAAGGAATGACCATGTAGTGGTCTAAAATAAGTTTTAAAAAGTTACAAAACCTCTGTTTTCTCTTCTAGATAATTATGTAAAATAAAGTTTATAGGAACCATTTAAGGATTACCTTGTAATAGAATGTTCTCTTAATAAACATGAGATATGAACAATGTGTATCAAATACACTCATGTATTGCAGTTTGTGCATGAGATTATCTCTTGGCAAAGGAATCCATTTAGGTAGCTCTAAATGTCAAAATGGTTCAATATTATGTGCTAAACTACATCCCTGAGACAAGATTAAAGTTTTACCTTGAGAGTTCAGCTTGAATCTCCTAACACCCTCTTTCTAGAACCTCTTTTCTTTTGCCTTTCATGATGCCCAAAACTAAGAGGCTAGAAGGATGCAGTGCTGAGCCTATCTATCCTCTTCACTGTTTGTTTAAAGGGGTGAGGAAGCACCCCAGAACTTGTACGGCATCAGTGTCCGACCACTTTCACAGATGGAATGAAGCTCATCTCCAAGCAGTTCATCTGCTTGGTGAAGGTATGTGTCATTTCTCCGTTGTCTCAAGGGAAGTGTGAAATAGGAGCGCTTGTCTGTTTCTGGTATCGCCTGCCCAGAATGAATGAGCTAGCAAGGATTTGAAGTTCATGCTGTGAACACAGGTAAGCCTGGTCGAAAGGGCCAGGGCCAGGCTTTTTAAATTTTAGTCCAGTGGCCAAATGGACTAAATTTCTTCTGTTTGAGGTTCTCATGGCTATTCAGATGATAAGCTCCAGCTTTTAGACACGGGGCAGTTAAAAGCAAGGGAATAGCTACTGTTTCTTTGTTTCCTTCAGCTCTCCTCACTTGCACATACAGATGATCATTTCTACATGCAATTTTCATGATATATCTCAAAATCTCTGATGTAGTGGCCTTTGTGTGCCCCAGGATATAGTAAGACTTGGAGCAGACTTTTATTATTTGCCATCTATATGGACCCTGAGAGGTGAAGGAGTTTGGACTTTTTAGAGAAGCCAAGGAAGTGAAGAAAGGGAGGCCCAGAGGCCCTGGTGTGTCCTGGAGAATGGCCAGCAGACAGATGGTTTACTTCACAGTAGTTCAGGCACAAAATCCATGGAAATCAAGAAGCTTGGGTAGTTTTGCCTGAACTGGTGTGTCTCAGTGGGCTGGGTGTCATCTTGCAAAGCATAAGGTCATTGGTTTGATTTCTGGTCAGGGCACATGCCTGGGTTGCATGTTCTGTCCTGGTCAGGGCGCATAGAAGAGGCAAACAATCAGTTTCTCTCTCACATCAATGTTTCTCTCCCTCTCTTTCATCCTGCCTCCCTCCTTCTCTAAAAATAAATAAATAATTTTTTTTTTAGAAAAAACAGTTGGGTAGTATTGAAAAGAATAGTTTTGACTTGGAATGGAGAAGGGGTACATAGAAACTGCAAGAAATATTTGGGAAATAACATGGTGATTTAAAGCTAAGATTTTAGATTTCAGTCCTAACTATATCTTAATAACAGTAGGTCCTTAAGCAAGTTGCTTACTGGCTGGGCTTCAACTTTCTTATCTGTAAAATAATGACAATAATAAGTATACCTACTTCACACAGTTGTTTTATAAAACGATACACAAATGTCTTAGATGCATGAGTATATACACATGACTCCAGGGTGCTAAGATAAGTAACTACAGCCATAAGACGAAGGTCTAAGATAGAAGGGAGGATAATGAATTAGGAAAAGGAGACTGGTAATGACTAACAGCCTGCGCAACGTGTGAATCTGTGTCTAGCCGAATCGGGTAATATGAGACTGTGCACTTTCATTTGTACAAGGTGAAGGTGGTTTGTGTGCACTCGAAAAGACTGAGTGAGCATGTCGTGTTGAAGAGGACACTGTGGGGGGAGAGTCGTGTGAGGGAGGGAAGCCACAGAAGATAGAGAGAGAGCAACAAGCCAGGCTCCTCCAGGAAGCAGACTTGGAGAGTTACTCAAAGACACAAAGAGGTGGGGAGCCCTAATCACAGGTTTCCAATCCCACTTCTGGTTTCTTGTACTTCTTTCTCTT